GAGCTAATTTTTTTGCAGTTCCTTCAATGACCACACTTTTTCGAATTATACTGAAACCCGGCGTGAGAATATTTAAGTAGCAGCTACGTATTGTGTTATTTGAATAAGTATATCCTCAAAATTCAGACTCGACAAGTGGTCAGCAAAATGCAATCCAGGGTCTTCTTAGGTTTGGAGTGCACAGTCTACAGATGAGAATACTCTATGCGAATTAGTAGAATGTAAATTAGTGACAATTTAAAATTATGTTGGTGCCTTCTTTGAAATGCATTTTGATGTATGATTAGATGGGACTATAAATTCATAAAAAAAGCAGGCCAATAAACACAACATAGTCAGGAACCGTTATTTGCAAGAAAACGGGTGTCGCATTGCTATTAGTTTCAAAAGACGGCGTTTTATTAAAAACAACTTATTTGTTCAGTTGACTGAACAAATACCTTGACTTTTCATTTATTCTAACTCGGTGTAACATATCACGATCGTATCGAATATCATAGTTGCCTGAAAGTAATTGGAGACGATGAACAAGAATTCTTAAATTTTTGTAATTCGATAAATTAAGTACAAGTTACACGAAGAGAATTTTTTGAAATGGTAAAAGTTTGGCGGCCGAGAAGAATTGACAAGAAAGGAAAACGTAAATTTTCTTTGTTAATTAACTTATTACTTTTTCTCCTTAGCGCGTGTTCTCAAAATAGTGTCTGTGGATCAAGAAATTCTGTATTTATTATCTTCTTTATGTGTGACTGTTTTAGAACTCAAAATGCCTAACAAATATTGTTGTCAGAGAATATTCGGCCACTGCCATGAGCAGCGACCACAGTGTCACCGCGTAACTGAGCTCTAAAGGACCTTTAATCGCCAATTTCCGGTCTCCGTGGACTAGCCACACCACGAGACGAGGGGAAGGGTTTCAAAAGAACTTATCAAGTGCCCCTCCCCCCAACGGTGTAAGAAACGCAAGCGTTGCCGGCAACCACGCGACATTTTCAACTGTCTCCGCGGGTTGCGGAGGTAGCCCCGACAAGGTCACGGGCGTGTTTCCGCACTAGGCCCATTGTTTCGTTTCCTCTATTGTTTCGGCACTTTCGATTCCGCTCGCCCTTTGTGGTGCATTGGCGCGTGCACGGCGGGCCCGCCAAGCGACGCCCCAGGGCGGCCCCAGAGGAACCGCAGCGCTGGCCACTTGGCAACTGCCGCACCGAATGCACTTGGCCGTGGAAATGCAACGCTGCAAATGTAATGAATTCGGAATCACGCGTTTCTTTCGTCTCGGACGATAATGATGAGTAGTCCTTTTGAGGGTTGGGGTTTGTTGCGCTCCGTGGTCACTCCCATGTCTTTCCTTTTGTGTTCGTAATACCGAGTTTGTTCTTTGATTTGAATGTAACGTGTTATTATGACGTGATGATTTCAAAAGAACGTTTTCACGGTGTGGCTGTGTCGCTACCGTCCGGATTGTTAATAACATGGGAAACGTGATGTGTAGAAGTATGAGAATGGCTTACATACATCCCTTTCCTCAGCCAGAAGTAGGTCAGTAGTTATTATTTATTTCAGATGGATAGCGAAGCAAAAGAAAATGCTACCGACGATAAGAGTAACGGGGATACTCGGAAAACGATTCCGTCGGGAGATTTTATTTTTTTTTCTAAATCTTAACTCTTAGAGTTTCGTACCAGCTGTGTTCACTACACTAGCTATAGCAACATAAGAACGTACTATCTGGCTACAAGCCTTAAATTTTTTTCCTATGTAATTTTACACTATAAATGCTTTGTATAACTTACTATTTATTTAATATTTATTTTATTTCCAAGGCAAAGAATAAGTGGACATATATGGAGAAAAGTTAAATGTTTTTATTAAAGTCGTATTATTGAAAAACTATGTTATATATTTTTATCTTGCATTCTAAATCCAAACTTCCGATGTTTACTTTAACTTGTTGAAATTCTCTTCTTCCTTCAAAGCAAGAAGTTAAGAAATAATTAAATTCAATAAGAAAACTGCTCTGAGAGATCATAGCTGTAGCATCTGGCCTATTTATCTTCAATTTGTTACGTTAAGAACAGTAACAGCATATTGCTGAAGCGAAACAAAATATAGTACGTATTACTCAGAAGAAAAACAACCGAGTGTCTCAGTATTTACTCTTTTGACCAATAGAAACGATGAACAAGCTCAATCAAGATTGGATCATTAACCTCACCAATACAATAATTAGACCAATTCTGATATTGAAATCATACAATCAAAGAAAATTACTTTTTTTGTACATTCCCCCCAAAAATATTGTAAGCAGTATCAATTGGCGTTTCGGTTCAATCTGGAAAATTTCCATTTCTGGTGAGTTCAAATTATCCACGAGAATTTGCGTGAATCCTCATGAATTGCGCTTTTAGCAAAATTGTAGGGGGAAAATCCTTTAATATGGAGATTCTATACGAAGTTCGTGGAGATATTTTTTCACTTTAGGTCTGAGTCCTTCATATTTTATTGTCTCCTTATATCTTTAAGTTACACCTTTTTTAAAACACGAAGCAGTACTAAAGCCGTCGCTATCCTCTTGAAAGTTCTCAATTTTAAATTGAATTTTCTTCGTTCACGAACCTCACAATAAATACGTAAAAAGTTGTTACTATGCTATCGCGCAGCCATCAAACTACTGGATCGCCTTTTGCCGATTTTTTAAATTGGAATATATTAAAGGAAGCAGAAACCCACGCCAGAAATGATACTACCGCTCGTGGTGTTTCATAAAATAATGAAATTAATGGCAAGAAGAAGCCAGTTCGTTAAATTTGACACATGATTCTGGTTTAGAGGGAAAACCACCATGAAATCATGAATTATTTTTTAAATCAGAAACAATGAAGGGATAAGTTTCATTCATTCGTCGCGTAATATATAAATAACTGCTGCGGTTGCAAGTAAAAGTTTCCGCTCTTTATAATAGTTTTATGATGCGTCCTTAAACTATACAGTATTAAGAAGAATGAGGAAGAAATGATGTAGTGGTGCTTGAAATGTGACAAACAAGAGCAGGTTTTTAAATGGTTTCAAAATTTTGCACCGTGACATTAAAACATTATAGGAAGCGCGAGTCCTCGATTGATAAAGCGTTTCATGGCGATGTGAAAAGAATCCGGATAAGAATAAGGCAAGGATACGTAGCTCGACATATACAGCATAACTTGCCTGGATCGAAAGGATAGTGGTTACGACAGAAATAAAACAGTTCAATGTTGCTACATTTTCTCTTATGAAGGAAAATTTGACAGGGTATTATAGGAGGTATTATTAGCAGGACAGGGTATTATTATATCTGAGAAAATGGTACAATAATTCCAAAATAAGTCCATTTGAACGCCATTTGAAAGACGTCTGTACTTGTCACTACTCTACTAGAACATTTCAGTTCCGTATTCTAGATCACTTTCTTCAGCGAAAAAAAAACATCATATGAACAATAGCATTTGTTAATAACTCATTAGCAGTCCAACATGCGTTAAAAAGTATGAAAAAATAGCCATTCTTGAATGCAGTGTCAAAAAAGGGCGCGTGGCACATGTGTACTAGGACATTTAAATAAGAATTAAACGGGCTTCAAAGCGCCCTAAAAGATAAATGTTAATATGCTGTATTTAGAAATAGAAAGGTTTGGACTGTTTATTTAGCCAAAAAATCAGGAAAATCGGTAATTTTACTTATTTCATATTATCTGCTCCTTCCATTATTTGCAAATATTTAAATGAATTTTATTATTGATTTTTTTTCTGCATTACTCGCTACGTGGTATCACAAATTTTTTTCAATGACAGCAAGAATACTCCTCGGCATTCTTACGAAGCTTTGGTCTATCGTACAGCTTCGTGTTTGTGGAAAAAGCACTTTTAGTTAGCAAATATTATTAGTACAAATGGAAATGCCGACTGCATATTTATCACGTTCCACGCATCCTCTGTTGAATTAAGGTTAGGATATTTCCATGGTTATTCCAATATGTATACTCGTTGCTGATAGAGGTTATTCGTCAACAGTTTTAAAGTATATTAGTGCTTCGTTTTGCGCGAAAAAACTTAATTTTCTGAATTGCATATTCTTAGCATATCCTTAAGCAAACACCCTCGGTTTATAGGTTTGAAGTTTGAAATATACTTTACACCCAATGCTTTCTTTTTCCTTCCTCTTCTTATTCTAGTGACCTATTTGCCTGTACCAGTACATTGGTGGTCAAAAGAGATTCTTGCTTTTTCTGTGCAAATATGAAGTGGTGATGTTTTAATCGTTTCGTTGTGATTTGCTCAAGATGAATACAACCCTGTAGTAGAGAGTAGCTGCCATCACAGTTGCTGCTTTTAGTAGAAACATCGATGTTTTAAAAATCGATGTATTAACACTGATGTTTTTTAACATCGATGTTTTTTCTCTTTTCCAATGTTTTGTTTCTGAATGAAAAATTCTCATGATCACAATACAGTGAAAGTTATATTATGAACTAATAACAGATAGTAACACTGTTATTCTTGTGTTGAAACCAAAAGAATGCTGTTGGCACAACATTCATCGACCAAACTCTCTTGCCCGAGATGACCTCCATGCCCTAGTTTTTCCTCTTTTTTCGTAGTCATTTCGCACATTGAGATATAGTCAACAAGTACGCTGTGGGCGTAGGGTCTGCCCATTCTTCTCGTATCCTTATTCGGCGAATTGATAAACACGAACACTGTCAAATTAAATTTTAATGCACACGAATTTAATGTTGGGGGATACTATGCCAGTCTAAGAACAAGGATGGTTTTTAGTCGATGTATTTTGAACATCGATGTTTCAATTTTGAACATCGATGTTTTGTTATCGGTTTTGCGTCTCTTCTTCGTAGAGTAAACGCTTGAAAGTAACCTTTGGAACCGGCATTGTGTGCCGCTTCGCCGTAAACCTGTGTGGTGTGAGAGTGACTAACCGCCTGCCGCTGGCGCGCGTGCCTGTCCTAGGTTCTCGTACGAGCGCACGCCCCGCGCGCTCATCTTCAAGCGCGACCAGGGCCGCGTGCGCGACCTGCCGTCCATGCTGGCCATGCTGGAGTACAACGACTTCCGGCGCGACCCGCTGTCGCGGTGCGCGTGCCAGCCGCCCTACAGCGCGGAGAACGCCATCGCGGCCCGCAACGACCTGAACCCGGCCAACGGCACCTACCCGTTCGGCGCGCTGGGCCACCGCTCGCACGGCGCCATCGACACCAAGATCACCAGCTCGGTGCTGGCGTCGCGCATGGTGATGCTGGCGCGCTCGGGCCCGGTGTTCAACGCGCACCTGCCGCCCTTCCGGTGGAGCACCGTTGACTTCGGCGCCACCACCCCGCACGTCGGCCACCCCGACCTCTGGACCTTCCCGCCCGTCACGTACGTCTGGCGCTGGGTGTAGGCGCCCCCCTCCCCCCCCCCGGAGGCCGGCTTTCCCCCCTTCCACCCCTTCCGAGTCCTTGTTTCCCGGATGTGCGATTTTCCTCGGTCGAAGGCTTCGCAGGGACCAAAGGTGAGGCTGAAGAGTGGGAGCGAATTAAACCGCATTTCGTCTTCACCTCCTCTTCCTGCTTTTATTCATCCTCTTACTTTTCCCTTTCCTGCTTTTCCTCGGTCTTCTTTTCCTGTGCTCTGGGTCTGCTGTTTTCCTCTGTCGAAGAGGAATGCAACTCTTCGCATTGACAAAAGAGGAGGCAATTCGGAGATTGAAAAGTGAAGGGAAATTAGGCGCCTTTCGACCCCTTTTTCTGTTATTCCTCCTCTACCTTATCCTACCCTTCCCCCTTCCTTCATCTCCTGTTTTTCCTCCATCTTCTATTCCTATTTTCTCGATTTGTGGGTTTCCTTTGTCGAAGTTCTGAAAGCCTTTCTTGTGAACAAAATATGATACCATTTGGAGGCTGAAGAGTGCAAGTGAATCTACCTCACTTGGGTCTTCTCATCCGCCTCCTTCTCTTCTTCTTTCTCCTGATTTTCTTCCTCCTCCCCTTTCTTTGTTTTCTGAATCTGCGGTTTACCTGTCTGGAAGTCAAGCAAATCGTCCGCATGAACCAAAGATGAGGCCACAAAGGGACTGAAGAGTGCAAGTGAAATTAACCGATCTTCTCTTTTCCTCTCCCTCTTTCGTTTAACTTGTGATTCACCTCCCTCTAAGCAAAGCAACCCTTCCACATGGACCTATGTTAATTGAGTGAGAAGGCAGAAGAGTGTGAGTGAAACATATCTCACTTTTCTTTTCTTTGATTGATCTGTTTTGCATCCCTCTAATCTTAAGCATCCTTATGGCTGACAAATTATTCTTGCTTTTAACGCACAAAAAAAATTAATTGATGACGAAATACTATTCACCGTCCCATTTTTTCCATTTCTCATCCATTTCAGTTCACTTCACGAGACAAATCTATTTTTATCGCTGATAAGTACGTGTTATCGCTAGGAGGCTGAAACCTAAATCTGAGGGATTGAATTTGTCTTCCCTAAATTTTCTACTTTAACCCAATTTTTATTACAAGTATGCATTCACTTGTAAGTCGCAGACCTAAAGAAATACGATTCTAACAAGTCTATATTGCAAATTGAAACCATTCCCGGTTCTCCTAAAGATTTTAACTATGCGTTTGATAGACGCATGTTTGCCTTACTGGACAACTTCCATTAGCTCTCTCATGATTTAACTTGCCAATATATGTAATCATGTTGTCATAATAAAGAAATTTTCATACTATTTTACAACCACACAGACGACACGTATGAGCAAATACCAAAGACCTAGAAATTTTCATCGATATTTTCTTTAAATAGTTTATAGCATCGGTTAGAGGTTCCTTAAAAATATAATTTTGTTTCACTTTTCGATTCGAAATCAATAATTTTGTGATCTAAAAAACATTTTTTTCTCATTGAACTAGAAATATTTAAGTTCTTGTCAAATAAATATACCTTTTTTAAGTAATTGAAATTTCTTTCTCTTAGTTTCCCTCAGCTCAACACTCCCTCATAACTGAAAATGACGACCATCTTACAGTCAAACATAACATCCCCTACGACTAGTTCAGAATTCGTGTTTCAGTTAACTCTGATAAACGCTGTACTCAAGAGTATTTTGTTTAAAAATCCCTTAAACACTACGTTTTGGCAAAAGATGGCTTTAATCCAAATAGTTACTATTACAAAAGATTCCTTCAAATTTTATGTGTCGTTGACCGCTACCCTGTCCGTGTTTCTGAGCTTTTATGCAACTTTTTCATTTTTCCACGTGTGCTTCATCGTGTCTGATGAGGAGCACGAGAACGCGTGAGAGCTCTTCCCATGGGTCCTCGTTTCCTTTCGCTAACGATTCTGTTTCGCATCAACAATACAAGATATACGTCGCTCTTAAGCCCAATTAGCGCGGTCTTCAGAGAGCGAGCGTGTTGGAAAATGAGCTTCGCGAGGTAACGCGTCCTCTGCGTTCGTCGCTTCATTCACACGAGCACACACGAGGTGTGTGTTTACGTGTGTCGCAGCAACCGGAATAAGGCAACAAGTCGTTCATCATCACGGAGACTTTTTCAATTGTAGTTCGTTTTGCGGACGTGCTCGTCCGCTTAACCGGATGCGTGCGAGGACGCCGCCGCAGGCGAAGCGACGTCGGAATCGACTGACAAAGGCAGCTTCGGCAGGCGACGCCAGAAGAGCCGCCTTCTGCTGAGTAGGATTAACAGCGTTCACCTCGCCGAGAGGAGGCAGTTCGTTTCGCCATACGCACTCGGCGCGCGCAGTTGGCGCAGCGTGCGGAGCAACTATTCGCGCAGATGGCGCTGGCGCAGAGCCTGGTCTGCGCTCGCTTTCACTCGGTACGACGCTGTTCTGGCAGAGGATTCGTAGTTTCTTGAGAAATGAAGGTGATGTGTTGACTTGGGAAATACGTCAATGTAAAATGGAATGGCCACTCAAATAATTTTTTAATCAGAATATTCGTAAACAATTATTCGTAATTTCGTTTTCAATTGTTATGAAAATATCTTTTAATGCTTTACATACAAATTGGGAAGTTTCAAATGTTCAATTTGTCAATAATTACTAGGAATATTCAGATAATGTCAAAGATATGTTAAACGTAGTTTCCTTTAACGAAAAGTATTACTTCAGCTCTCTCTGGCCGGTTGGTATTTCACCCGTGGTAAATCTCTCACTTTATTCATTTGCTCAATAGTTATTTAAGTGGCTATTTCTGTTAATACACTGACTATTTTCTTCTGAATTTTCCCAACACTTCTATTGTTGACAAGCATTTTGTACTTGAGAAAATTAATATTTTGAAGTTCTGTATTAAGGGGAGGCAACTTTCAGTAATTTTACTTCATGATTCAAAAAACTACATTACTTCCTGCCCGAACAGCGAAGTACAGTGTTATGTTCTGCGGCACAAGTGACACTGTGCAAGATTCTGATAACTTCCGCCGCATCTACAGACTGGATACGAATACCAAAGATCCCAAAGAGAGCAATGACAGCGATTATTGCAATTGTATTTCAGAATAATTATTATCATGTACTTGTGAATAGAAAAGTGCGCATTTATCAAGATGCTCTCTACTGTAAAATGGTTGCATATTGAACATGTATGTTTAAATGTATAGCTTTTTGAATATAAATTTGTATTTGTGAAAATGCCTGTGTTTATTGTTTTCCTTTCCA